AAATCAATTCCCAGTCTTGGCTTTAAATTCTCTCGATCTCTCTATCTCTGTCTCTGTTTACTCTCTGTATTTTCCCTTTTTATTTCTCTCACCTCCATATCCATTTTGTGTGTCTGTGTGTCTGTGTGTCTGTGTGTCTGTGTGTCTGTCTGTCTGTCTGTCTGTCTGTCTGTCTGTCTGTCTGTCTGTCTGTCTTTCTGTCTGTCTGTCTGGCTGGCTGGCTGGTTGGCTGGCTGGCTGGCTGGCTGGTTTTCTCTCTCTTTCTTGTTCACTCTCTCTGTCTCTATCTTTGTCTCTGTCTCTCCCTCTCTCCCTCCCCCCCTCTCTCTCTCTCTCTCTCTCTCTCTCTCTCTCTCTCTCTCTTTCTCTCTCTCTGTTTCTCCTCTCTCTCTCTCTCTCTCTCTCTCTCAGTCACTTTCTCTCTCTCTGTCTATGCGTCTCTCTCTCTCTCTTTCAAGATCTCCAGCCTTCTGTATAATATATATATCCCCGGTGTACAACAAGTGCACTTCGTCCTGCTGAGAACAGTCTGTTCTAAAGGCATGCGCTTCCCCTCTACACATCAACTCTATATCTTGTAAACCCGCCCCATACCCACAGTCACTAAGATATCCTTCGTCAAATCACCTTATTTTTCTCGACTGTTGAAGTGAACCTATCACGGGGACACTTAGCGTAAAAGTAAATTAACTGAGACCAATCTCCACAGCTTCTTGTGCCGTAAAAGGACTCTTGGCGATAACATCACGTTTCAGATAACACGCAACGAATTATGTTATTTACAATACTTTCTCCATTTCACAGGTGCACACATAACATGTATAATTTGCCGCAGAAAGTGGGTAATTGCCAAAAGCGACATTCACGGTGCTAGTTCTATCTTATAAAGAAGTTTTCAGCTGGAAGCTAGCAGCTTTTCTTTTTCAGACCCTACGCAACGGCGAGACAAATTATTCACACATTTTTCCACGGATCTAGATTGCTGGCCAAACTCTGGGAAATCGTGTAAATGCCATTGTCCGTGCTGAGGTTTGTTTATGACTTGAACACATGGCGCTATTCCTTGATTCAGATTTCGAACACGATTATGGGTGTTCGGACTTTATTTTTTTCTTGGGAGTTAGAAGGTTAGGGTGACACGAGCAGAAATATATGTGGTAACAGTTTTGTTGCTGTCTTTGTTTTGTTATTGTTATTGCTGCTGTTGTTGTGGATGTGGTTGTGGTTGATGTCGCCATCGTCGTTCTCCTATTTTGTTATTGGTAATACCGTTTTGATGTTGCCGTTACTGCTGCTGTTTCAAATACCATAGCATTAAATAGACTTTCGTTGCTTTTAAAAAGGGTATAAACGGAGGGTAAGGGGGAGACAGAGAACGTCGAATAAAGTAGGTTTATCGAAAAAAACAAAAAAACAAGGTGAATGTTGAGGTCTATGAAATGAGTGAAATGTTGGGAAGGAAGAATGTTTCTGAAGTTGAAAGGAATGCCCAACACAAAGGAACAGGATAGAGTGACAGGAACTCGTGAAGTTCGGGACAAAAACAGAAAGAGAGTAGCTGAAGCAGAAACCAGGTCCATGAGGTTTAATATAGTAGGACAGCTGCTTTTCATCCTCCACAGCAAGTAGTGCTGTAAAGTGGCGGTAAACTCGAGAATGTTCAATTTCCGTCTAAACGAAGCTATGATGGGCGAGCAAACACTCGGTTGTAACAGACAAGGAAACCTGTGTGTCGGTGATGAGTCTATCAAATGCCTAGGAGTGACGTATTGTGTGTACAGAGGGCATGGAGGTGAAAAAGTATCTGAGAATTCCACGGGTTTCTGTTCACGGACCAGCGCCTTGCTTGATCCAGGCAGGTAGCCACTGGTCACAGTCAATGATAGCCGGCGTGCGCCGACCCGTGATGGTGGCAGGGTTGTTGGGGGGATGAGATGGGTTTGTTAATGCTACTAGATGGGAGATCGGGATGGAAGGAAGGAAAAGAAATCGGGAATAATAAGTGTAAGGTTGCTGTTTTTATTTTTTTTATTTGTTTATCTGTTAGTAGATTTATCGAAAGTACATTCGTGTACATATGCATAATATGTGTGTATGTGTGTGTGTGTGTGTGTGTGTGTGTGTGTGTGTGTGT